TATTCTTTTGTACATCTGAATGAACGTGAAACTGAGCGCAACATGCACGAGCACAAAACCCCTCCCTGCCTCCTCCCCTGTATGAATATGCTAATGACTATGCTAATGGCAAAACCCAACGAAAAAGCAATGGCAAAATCAAGCAAAAAGAGAAACTTTGAACAGAATGTGAATTGGAGGTGCTGTTTTCGGAGGTAGACCGGAGAAAAGCAGTGTTATTTGCAAGTTTGTTCTCCGGAATTAACAACAAAAGAAAAAATAGAGTGGGAGAGATTAGCTGATGCGGTTAACACAGTTGGGTCTGAACATCGCACTGAGTGCATTAAAAAAAGAAATAGTGTGGTTTATATATGTAAAATGTTGCAGTACCCTTAGCAGTCTCAGTGGCGCACCTCGTAAGACGCATGTGATCATGTATTGACACGTTCGAGCATAAATTCGACTCGAATCCAGCGTCTGATGAACTCTTTCTTCTTTTTTTCCCCGCTACATATCAGATTTTGCCTAATATTTATCACGAGAAAATCATCAATAAGTTTGTGCATTATATTTTATTTGCACATTTATTGAATGGAAATGTTTCTGATTCACGCATGCAAATTCATCTTCAGATAGTGTCTTTATAGCAATGTGCGTGCGGTAGATCGCTCAGATTACATTGGGAAAACAGGCGACTGCTGCAAATTGTGCTTTAATGTTTAGCTGGTCAACTGTATGGTATGGAAACCTTATATACCTGCTGAACCCGTCTCATACAGCTGCAATTGCAAGGCTCAAAGACACTTTGTAGAGAGGAATTTAACACAACTGCCTCTAGGAGTCGCCAATGGAAATAAAACAGACACGCACAATAAAATGTGCGTACGCCAGCCAGAAAGCTGCCATGAAGCTGCGCACATTCCCACGTTCAGTTCATTGTTAGTAAATCCAAACGTGAGCGATTCTGAGCATGATACCTGGCGTACGCAATGTTTTTGTGCGTACGCAGCGTTGATACATGAGGGCCCAGAGGTTTAAAACCTTGACTAAGGACTAGTTTATTTCTGCTAATTATCATCTCCTTGGTTTTATTAAAATTGATCTAAATGAACACCTTTTACACCAATTTTGAAGCAAATTTATATAATTATAGTACATGGTATCTCCTTCTGTTCCTATTTTAGTGTATATGTACAAATAATAAAAAATAAAATAAAATAAAATAAAAGTGTAAATGTACAAGTATAAAACCAACTTTACCTCAATCACTGCTAAGGTCAAACTCATTACTAATCTTTATTTTTTTGTAGATTTGTGCTCAATCCTAATAACAGCCCATATTATTGACCGTCACAATGTTTATTAGACATCCATTGAGACCGATTGAGGTAAAGGTAGTTTTATATTCACACATTCATTCAGTGACAACTTGTGACAGACTCCCTATATTGTTTACCATGGTACAAAATCAGTTTGCAGACATTTAGGTACAGACATCTATTGTGCGCTTTTGGCAGTTTTTTCCTGTCATTTTAATATTGTCCATATCGATATCGGAATTATATTGTATCGACGGAAATTAAGAAATATATTTTGATTAGGGCTGGGCGATATATCGGGTTCTGGGGATATATTGATATGATTCCCCAACGCGATGGCCACACGTGCGCATTCTGCGGGAAACAGAACGCTCCAAGGCAGCAGCTCGCAAGCTCCACTTGCACAAATGTGCGCATGCGCAAATGAATGATTCACTCCATGAGTCAAACAAAAGATTTGATCAAAATGAACGAATCGTTCAAGAACGACCCATCACTGACGCGACATGGAGGAAGATGCAGTGCCAGTGTGGTGAGAAATCTATCTGACTCGCATACACACGTCACACAGTGCCTAAAGCTGCCACAGCGGTTAATCAGATACCTTTTATCGATCTTTTCTTCCGCAAATGACATCAAGAACGAACACAGAAGCCTTGTCAAGTTGACAAACAGCACCTGAATGTGTTTATAAGAATTAAAAACGCCAAAATGGGAGAAATTTATACCACATTTCGAAAGAGAAACCACCTGATATTCACTGATTAAAAGTTCAGTATTTATTACACAACGGTCTATTCTTTACATTAACATTATAACACCTTTAGCTCTGCGTTCTGATCTGTTATAATGACTGTTTACATTTATATGCTTCACCAGCATTTCACCACAGTACTCTGAAACTATTTCGTTACTTCTCATATCTATAGTACACAGTCTCATCTATAGAGATGATTCATTTTCATCTCCTTATTTAATATTTAGTAAAACAAGTTTAGTCAAAACAAAAGAAAAAGTGGAGGATTGTTTATATGAAGTGAAAGAACTCTCTTTAGATATCCTCGATATGTGCACTGTTTAATAATTGTGCACAATACAAACATGTAAATGTGTAACTACTAGGGTTAGGCATCTAAGCTATAATGCCGATCTGATACGCATCTCGATACAAAGAATACGATCCGATATATTAGCGATACATTTGTGACATTGCGATGCAACACGATACGATTTACACCCATATCATGATACAATGCGATAATTCAGCACTAACTGATTAGATCAAGTTTATGAGATGATGTAAGAAAGGATGCTGTGCCATTGAATGAGTTTGATTATTTATTAACCAAGCAAAACCAAGACTTTTTTTACAAACTGGCTTTTCTCTTAGAGCCAGAGTGTCAGTTTACAGTAGAAGGCCATTTTAGAACCTATAGCACATATTAAGTATTTTCAAGATAAACAAAATGTATAAGTGCAATATATATTATAAATGTATATATTTGCACTCTTTCAACATAAAGGTTTACCATTGCACAACAAGAATTGTGATTTAACTTTTCAACTATGAAAACAAGTTTTACAAAGATATATTGTGCCACTGAATATTCAAAACTTAAGGTCTTGAACTAGCAGTGTTATGTTGCTTTGAAACATCACTGTCACTGTAAACAACAGGCTAATAAAAATATAAATAAATAAAAATTAACAGGAGGTGTTTAAAACCTTCGTTCTCCGTGACACTAGGCTGAATATCTTTGCAGATGAACAATGCAATAGCATTCGTTATTGGCGTAGAGCGAGCAGAACTGTTGCGCATGGAGAAAACTTTCAATGCTTTTCTCACCACTTTTGGAGCTGGTAGCTACAGTTGAAGCAGAGCAGAAAGCCGGGGATGCAGGAACACTGGAAGATGCTTCAAGTGAGATATCAGATTAGTCGTACTGCCCGTGTATTATACAGATGTGCGGCACATTTTGCAAATTGCATCTGTTCTGTCAAGTCGTCCATCCTTTTTGCAGAATCCATAATGTTGCCATACTTTAGATTTAAAACTCAGTGAGGAATAAAATGTTTGTTTTGCTTCTCGCGCTAGGGCGCACCACTAGCTTCATCCGCACACCTGATTCACTGAGTTGTAGTGTAAGTGTACACATCCGCAAGCCCGTTGCTAATGCATACTTTATGTAGGTTGATTAAATTATGCGCCAAAAACAGGTTGACAACACTTGTTAATAAATAAAAAATACATTCTATATTAAAAATATAAGTTGTATTTTGGAAAAACGATGCATCTCGATTTGCTTACAAAATTTCATTCATCCTCTGCTGCTCTACCGATGCACTCGCATCGTGCACGCGCATGACTGCGTATCGATACATATCGGTTAATCTTCCCATCCCTAGTAACTACAAAACATATACAGTTGATTTAATTGTTGTTTGTAAATCACACAACTGTGGTATACCGGATTACTTATAAAAACTCTGTAATTGTGACATAAAACACTGTGTGTTTCATATTTACATTCAATGTGGTTCTTTTCTATCCTACAATACTTTTTTTGTGTTACTAGTGTTGGTTTTTTGCTCTGACAATGTAGCTGTGTTTTCTATGGCTCTGTTTACTTGGTTATTCGCGCAACAGCTGAGTATAGTGTTAAGCAGGAAAAAAACCTGTACTGTATTTTATTTATCAAAGATTTTGCGCAGCTGTTTATTTGTAAACAGAGAGGGAAACCCCTGTGTTTGAATTATATTTTGCTCAAAAAACGTTTTAATAAAGGCTTTAACTCTCAAGTAACCATTTATGGGAAAATACCGGATAGACATCGTATACGCTATTCCTCCTTAAAATACCGGGATATGATATTTTGCCCATATCACCCAGCCCTAATAGTGATATAATTTTTTGCCACATCGTCTAGCCCTAATCAAGACTGAGGTTAATTAACAGATTTATGCTAAATAATTTGAACATATTTATATTTATCTGATGCATTTTTACAGCTGTTTAATTCAGTGGATGTTTTCATCACACATTTGCCCAGAGTGTGGATCGTTGAGTTACTTAAAAATTTCAAAGCATTTTCACAAAATATGTGTCAAAATAAGACTTGTCACGAAAAATCATTCTGCTAGCTGAAACGGAGGAAGTTATGGCCAAATTAAGACACACAATCACCCTAGAGTGGATGAAAACATCCCACAGTACAAAAGGATTAAGGAGAACGTCCGAATGTGTGAATATAAGACCAAGTTTACCTCAATCTGAGGCCGTGTGACATGTCAAAACTGGCTTCATTTCTCATCATCTGAATGTAAAACCTGATCTAGTTTAGTCGGTTTGCTCGCCATGCGTACAAAACACTAGTGATAGCAAAAGTCGATTCAATTATTTTGCTTTATGCTAATATGTATATACCAGAACATCAGTCCACCATTAAACCCAAAAACAGACACACAATTAAAAGCTTCGTTATCCGTGCTTCATGTAAATACATGATGACTGCTGAGGCCTTTCCTCAAAACACACCAGAAATGCTCTATAAAACACGCAGAGAGCTTTAATTTCAAGCTATGACATGAGAAGCACATAACGCAGTAGTTATTGTGATGATTATGTATTAATTGGGGTTAATTACTGTGCGTGTTTGCGTTCAGGATTAAAGCTAAAGCTAATCGCTAATCTCGCGCTCTTACCATCATCCAGAAAGAACGACGAAAGCAAACATGAATCTCCAGCACCGCTAGGGCTCCTGGTCAGTAAGATTCCCTTTTGTGACTCCGAGTGCGTGTGTGGCGAGCTTTGTTTTTCACTTATAAAATAAAAAGAGCGACGCCGAAACAACGAACAGAAAAACTCCGTCAGCGCGTGCTCACGGAAACACAGTCCCTCCGGAAACAGAGACAAGCTCCGGCAACGAGCGCGGCCCTTGGAAACCGCCGTTGTGGCTGAAAGTTCCGCATTAGCATCCTGTCACGCGAATTATGCGATGATATGTTTTAGATTCAAAATAAACAATAAAATAAAATAAAATAAAAAAAATTCAGAATAATTACATATTCTGCACGTTAACCGCATTAATACGCATATTAGGTATTGACTAAATAATTTAGGATGATTGGGGAGAACTCCGTGCATAATGAACATTAACAAACTTGATTAACAAAGTGCCCATCGAAAATAGCTAATATTATTACCTTCCACAGTTTATTGAGAATTTGACATTTTTATTTTACAAGTTTTCAATAATGAAACACTTAAGAGCTTATTTTGTATGTTTTCTTCACATAATGCACAAAATATGCTTAAGTCCAAATTCAAAAACTCAAAATAGACACGTATGGAAAACTTGTCAACCCGTATTTATACTCTTTATTACTACGAATTCGAAAGATTGAGGTTTTATTATTATTTCAGTAAAATACAAAATTGTGGGTTTTACTAATTAAATGGGTCAATCCAACATCGTATGTATGAAATTGTTATAGTATTACTATCCCATGCCATATTTTTTGCCATGGTACAACCACAGTAAAAATTTTTGCAAGATGTTTGATATAGACATAAGTTATCTGAAATGTAACAAATCCACTATCTATGCAAAAGAAGCTATTTTTTTTCACAAATTCTTTATTAACATGTATAATCTATCTATCTATCTATCTATCTATCTATCTATCTATCTATCTATCTATCTGTCTGTCTGTCTGTCTGTCTGTCTGTCTGTCTGTCTGTCTGTCTGTCTGTCTGTCTGTCTGTCTGTCTGTCTGTCTATGATTCTTTATAGGCTACTATGCTTTATATAAGACTACATTATAAGCAGATTTAAAATGCATAAAATATACAATTTAAAATTAACATCAACTACACTCACAGGTCACTTTAATTAGCTACACCTGTACAACTGATGCAAATTTCCAATCAGCCAATCACATGGCAGAAACTCAATGCATTTAGGCATGTAAACATGGTCAAGACGATCTGCTGCAGTTCAAACCGAGTATCAGAATGGGGAGCAAAGTTTATTTAAGTGACTTTGAATGTAGCATGGTTGTTGGTGCCAGACGGGCTGGTCTGAGTATTTAAGAAACTGATGATCTGCTGGGATTTTTAAGCACAAACATCTCTAAAGTTCACAGAGAATGGTCCGAAAAAGAGAAAATATCCAGTGAGTGGCAGTTCTGTGGGCGCAAATGCCTTGTTGATGTTGAGGTCAGAGGAGAATGGCCAGACTGGTTGGAGCTTATAGAAAGGCAACAGTAACTCAAATATTCACTTGTTACAACCAAGGTCTGCAGAAGAGCATCTCTGAACACACAACAAATCCAACCTTGAGGCGGATGGGCCACAGCAGCAGAAGACCACACCGGGTGCCACTCCTGGCAGCTAAGAACAGGAAACTGAGGATAAAATTTGCACAGGCTCACCAAAATTGGACAATAGAAGATTGTAAAAACATTGCCTGGTCTGATGAGTCAGAATTTGGCGTCCACAACACGAAAGCATGGATCCATCCTGCCTTGTATCAATGTTTCAGGCTAGTGGTGGTGGTGTAATGGTGTGGGGGATATTTTCTTGGCACAGAGCAACTGCGTGATGCTCTCATGTCAATATGGACCAAAATCTCAGAGGAATATTTTCAGCACTTTGTTGAATCTATGCCACGAAGGATTAAGGCAGTTCTGAAGGCAAAAGTGTTTCCAACCTGGTACTAGTAAGGTGTACCTAATAAAGTGGCAGGTGAGTGTTTGTAACCATTTTGAAAAAAAAAAAAAAATACAAGTAATAAAGAGAGGATTACAGTAGGTATTCGGTAAGTAAAGTACAGTACAGTAAGATTGCAGTAAAGTAATTCAGTAAGTAAAGTTTTCTCATGAATCACACCTTTTTTTGTTACAAAAACAATCCAGTAGTTTATTGAGATCTGCAATGTTCATTAATGGAGGGTCATTCTCTTCACAACCCTCAACGAGAAATGACATTGCATCATAAACAACATGAGCATTTAAAAAAAAAAGGAACAAGAAACAATCGACTGATTACATTATAAATAAAAAGCCACATAAAGCAATTCTGATGTGACAAAACCTTAATAAATATGCAATTTAATTCATTTTAAAAGACCTAACAACAGATTGGTTATGCACAATTTTAAAACAACCCCAAATATAAGCAAAGCAGCATTACTGTGCTTTATCATAAACCAACTTTAGTAATCTATCTGATGGCTGAATAACACTCTTGTTAGTGGATTCATGTGAGCAAAGACGCTTAAAAGACCATATTAATAAACACCCCCAAAAATGACAGAAATGCTTCTTTACGTAATTCAGACATAGTTAAGAAATAAAAAAAAACAAGCACAATGAGGACACTATTCGAAATGGTTTGTACATAAATTTGTGCTGCTGCGGCTGATTTTAAACTAACACAACTTCTCCTTAATTATGGTCTTCAAACCTATCACAAAGTCCATGCTTGGCCAGAAGAAGCCTTCGAGGCACATTAAAAGACATCGGAGCAAATGAACCAGTCGTGATCATTTACTACTGAACCATCCGGAGCTTCCTTGTTTTAAAAATGCCCCTATTGTGCTCACGTAGTGTGTAATGTAGGGCTGCTTATAAATGTAAAAGGTCAGCAACTTTTCAAATATAAATGAACTTGTAATTCACAATCACTTCTTTGTTTTGTAGACAACATGAAAGGAATCTTCAGTAATTCCTACACAAGTTTATGGCAAATTTGCATAATGCCAGTCTGTTGTCTTCATTGGCTGCCTGTTATATTGTCTTATTTAACTCTGAAACATTGCTGCACATGCTAAAATACACTGGAAGTGTTGAGTTTGGATAAAAAAACATGCTGTTTTCTGCACTGTGAAAGCAAATCCACTTGTTCCACCCATAACAGCAGAAGAATTCTCAAAAAGGCGATTTTTAGATAGACAGGATCATTGAAGCAACCATTTCAGGCACTAAGGTCATGTCCATTTTTCTCTTTGTTTTGGCCAAGAAATGAAAACGTATATTTTTAAAAACGCGGACATTGTGTTGTGGTGTGAACTGTGAAAATGGAGGCATTTGAAAATGATGACAGTGATGTGATGAAGTCATGTGATCAATTCGGCTAACATGGTGGATGACATTATAAAGCAGATGTTTTGGATGCTGTCCGTTTTGACAGCTTTATTAAAGAATAATGTCAGTTTGTACAGTACATGCTCCATATTTTTTCTGTTCAAATGTTTACTGGGAGCTGTTGTTCAGCGGTGGACAGTTTGACGAGGTGTTTCAAAGAGATGGAAAGTAAATAAATAGCTGGCAGATATAATAGCAGGTAAAAGCGTGTTATGACTATTCACATGGGCAGTTCATGAATGAAAGCATTTTCAGTTGTTTAAAAATGGATGATCGAAAGAATTAAAATGATAGCGTGGACATGGAAAGTTTTAGCATTTCAAATTTATCCAGACTAGAGTAGACGTAGCCAGGGGTGTCGCTAGAGGGGGAGTTAGGATGATTCTAAGGGCTCACCTACTTTTGGGGCCACCAAAGTTACTATTAAGGGAACCCAACAACCCCCCCCCCCCCCCCCCCCCAAACCCCAGTCTTCAGTTTTGTCCACCACATCACCCCTCCCCCGCTGTTCTTCACTTTCGTTCTTGACACCACCCAGCCCCCTCCCCTTTTCACTTTCATCTGCGACAATGTTTCACATAAGACTTAGCCTAAGAAAAGAGCTGTGCATAATAATTGGAAAAGAGTATTTTTTTTTGTTTTATTTACTCTTAAACACTATAACTGAAACCTGGAAGAGTGGTTTTGCGGCTCAAAGGATGCTTTTTTCTGCAATGTGAGAGCAAGGCCAAATTCTATTTTTGTACCCCTACTCCTTCTTGCCCCTTGGCCCTTAAAACCGAGTGTGAAGGGGAAGGGCTTCAAAAATTTCCCCTCAAGAATTGGGACAGCACTAAAGCACCTGCACACGTTATCATATGTCACCGTGATCTCTTGCTTCATATGAGATCAGACGATCGCGACTGCTGTAGTTATTCCAGATGTGTTATTTTTTGGTATTTATCTTCAAGAAATCACTAAAAGCATATATTATGTTATCATAACCATATAATGTGACAAGAAGATCGTAATACTGTGCATTTAACACAGTGGCCATATTCATTTATGTAAACAAACCAAAAACAGCCTTACCATTATAGCAGACACTGTAAAAAGCTCATTCACAGCCACTAGACATTACTGACAGGGTATTCCAGTGTCATCGAGTGTCAGAATGTTGTGGGACTGCTATACAGGAGTTATTGTTATGGATTATAGATTGCGAAATTTAGCAGTTTTTATTTTTTTAAGCATGACAGTACAACACATACACAGTTATAAATATTAAAACATGTGTTTGTTTGTAGTAAAAATACAAATTTGTGGATATCCTTACTTCCGGGTGTAACTGTCTGCCGTTGTGGCTGATGTATTCTGGGAAATTTTCTTACCCCTTGGTTTCAAGCGTGGTTCTGAAAATCTTTGTTCGAAGGGCTATTCACCCCTTTCCCCTTCGCCTTCGAGCTAAAGAGAATTGGGACACCCCTAACCCTTGACGTGAACGCGCAAAACGAGGGGTAGGGGTAAGGGGAAGGGCTAAGGGGTAGAATAGGGATTGGGCCCAAATCTACTTTCTCCACCAATCAAAACAGACTTGAGCAGTCTTGACCAATCAGAGAAAAGCAGGCTCTCAAAAATGCAGGTTTTAGAGACACCGGATCCTTGAACCAACTATTTCAGACACTAAGAAAAGAGGTGGTGTTGTACATATTATTGGTAAAAAGTATATGTTTTGTCCTATTTAACTCCTAAACACTGTAACTGTAGCTGAGACCTAAACAAGTTAAGTTCTTGACCCAAAAATATGTTATTTTCTGCACTGGGAGGGCAAATCTACTCTTTCCACCAATCACAACAAACTGGAGCAGTCATCTGACCAATCAGAGCAAAGCTGGCTCTCAAAAAGGCGGGGTTTAGAGAGGCCAGATCTTTGAACCAACCATTTCATACGCTGTAGCTCTGCATTTAATTTGAGTTTATTGTCATCTTTAAGTCTCAAACACTGTAACTATAACTGCAACCAATAGGAGGTTTTTATGTCAAAAAGATGTTGTTTTTTTTGTGTGTTGCACATAAAACAGGAGGAGAACTCATGCTCAAACTAGGATGGTAAAACTACCGTCATTGTTTATATCACTGTGCTTACAAGTGACAAAGAATAGCTCAAATTCAGATATATGGTAATCTGAATATGGTTTCAGACATGCAATGCAAGTTACCAACCAATTACAACAGACCAGACCAGTCATCTGACCTATCAGAGCAGAGCAGCTCTCAGAAAGGTGGGGTTTAGAGAGACCGGATCCTAGAACCAACCATTTCAGACAAAAAAATAGCTGGAGCAGTGCATATTATGGAAAAAAAACATTTAATTTTTGTTTTATTGTCATCCTTACGTCTCAAACACTGTTTCTATAGCTGCACCATATAAGAGTTTGGGTTTTTATAAAAAAAAGACATTGTTTTCTGCACTTAAAAAAGGAGGAGAACTCATGCTCAAATTAGAATGGTAAAACTACCGCCATTGTTTATATCACTGTGCTTACAAGTGACAAAGAAAAGCTCAAGTGGTAATCTGAATAAGGTTTCAGACATGCAATGTAAGTTATCAACCAATCACAACAGACTGGACCAGTCATCTGACCAATCAGAGCAAAGCAGGCTCTCAAAAAAGGCAGGGTTTAGAGAGACCGGATCCCTGAACCAACCATTACAGACACTAAAAAAGAGCTGGAGCAGTGCATATTATAGGATAAGCGTTTAATTTTAGATTTTTTTGTTATATTTAAGTCTCAAACACTGTATCTATAGCTGCAACCTATAAAAGTTTAGGTTTTAATATCAAAAAGATGTTGTTTTCTGCACTGTGAGAGCAAATCTACTTGGTTGTGCTTAAAAAAGGAGAACTCATGCACAGAAGAGGATGTTAAAACTAATGACATTGTTTATAACACTGTGTTTACAAGTGAAGAGGAGGAGCTCAAATTCACAGCATTTGGTTTTGGACACGCAATGTAAGTGATCAACCAATCACAACAAACTGAACCTGTCATATGACCAATCAGAGCAGAGCAGGCTCTGAGAAAGGCGAGGTTTAGAGAGACTGGATCCTTGAACCAACCCTTTCAGACACTACAAAAAGTGTTGGTAATGAAAAATGTGTTTTTTTTAACCTCGGATTGACGAAATAAGAAAAACTATAAACCCTAACAGCAAAATAGGGGCACTTCAAGAACATTCACCCCCTCTAAACTGTCCGTCTGCATCATGTTATCCGTAGAGATTGAACAAGCACTTATGGAGAAACAGATAAATAACACTGAATTCTGGCAACTATAAAGAACATGAGATACAAAAGTGCTGCATTGAACATCGATGGGTGATTCAGAAACGCCATTGGCTGATTTCCATGCTACAATATATTATTATTGTCCTGAAGATGCTGACAACGAAACGCTTAAATACAATCAAACGTCATTATCGGAAAACATAAGTATGCATTCTGTACACATTCCGCTTTGTTCTATTGGAGTATTCGCTGCATTCGTGATCGCCGAACACACATCTTTTTTTTTAATCCGATCAGAAATATTGCAATGATAAAAATGCATCAGTTGTTGTTTAAAACTGTCATCATGTGTGCATGGGATGAATGGGATCTTACAGAAGTCCTTGTGCTGTACTCACTTACAAAATAATTACAGAACAGACATGCCAGACGTCGCCAAGTGTCCGTTTCACATGGGCTGCTGTCAGAGAGTGAAGCCCCGCCCCTAGGGGGTGTGGCTAAATGAACCACTCCTTCTTGCTCTCGTCGATGGTCTCTGTGAAGGCGGGGTCATTGACGATGATGGCAGCATCGGCGCAGTCTGCAGACTCCGCCCCTTTGGCCTCATTGGTGTGGTAGGAGCCCTTGTGACGGAACATGTGACGCACCAGAAACACCAGCGTGCAGAGGATGGTGAAGATCACCACTGCGATGATGCCTGCGTCAACGATATTACATATACATTTAGTCATTTTTGACAGAAGCTTTTGTCTAAAGCGACGTACAATTGAGTAGACATCCAGCGATTCAGCAAAAAGAGGCAATGCATACAAGACATGCTAATTATGCCAAGGAATTGTTAGCGCTCTGAGAATTACAGTAGGTGCTAGAGTAAGGTATATATGAAATATTAAATGACCATTGCATTGCATTGATTCAATGACAAGTCAAATTACTGTAGAGTTATTCTTTTATTAATTTATTTTTTATTAAAATATGATTTTAGCATGAATTAGCATGTTACTAGCATGAATTAGCATTTGTTTAGCATGTCTAGCATGAATTAGCATGTATCCACTATGATTCTAGCATGAATTAGCATGTATCTAGTATGATTCTAGCATGAGTTAGCATATGTTTAGCATGTCTAGCATGAATTAGCATGTTTCTAGTATGATTTTAGCATGAGTTAGCATATGTTTAGCATGTCTAGCATGAATTGGCATGTTTCTAGTATGATTCTAGCATGAGTTAGCGTTTGTTTGGCATGTCTAGCATGAATTAGCATGTTTCTAGTATGATTCTAGCATGAATTATCATGTTTCTAGTATAATTCTATCGTGAATTAGCATATTTTAGCATGTTTAGTATGAATTAGCCATTTTGTAGTAGGGTTCTATTATGAATTAGCATATTTTAAGCATGTTTAGTATGAATTACTGTTTCTAGTATGATTCTAGCATGAATTAGCATATTGCGTGAATTGTCACATTTTAGTATGCTTTTATCATGAATTAGCATATTTTAGCATGTCTAAAACGATTTACCATGTTTGTAGTATGATTCTATCATAAATTAACATATTTTAGCATGTCTATCATGATATGTTTCTAGTATGAATACGGCATGAGGTAGCATAATTTTAGCACGTCTATCATGAATTAGCATGTTTATAGTATGACTCTAGCATCAATTAGCATATTGTCAGCATGTCTAGCATATCAATATGTTTCTAGTATGCAGAGGCGCCGCTAGGGTGGAGAAAGTTAGGACGATTTTAAGGACCCACACCATTTTGGGGCTCTCAGGTTTACTAATAGGGGCCTCACAACCTCCTTACATCACCCTCCCTCTTTTAACTTTAGTCCGTGAACTACCCCTCTTCACTTTTATCTGCGAACCGAACAAAGACCCCGCCTCCCCACAATCCCCCCCCCCGCTCACTTTTATCAGTGACAAAGTGTGTAGAAAAAGCATATTTCACCTCCGATTATTGCAGAGTCTCTGTTGACTCCATCTCGACTGATGCGCTCCTCGTTGAATGGGAACTGAGCACCGACTTAAAGAAAAAAAAAGTTCATTGAGTTAAAATGAGTACAGCAGGTAAGTAAAGAGCCAGCATTTGATTTAATATAACAAAATTAAAAATTATTAGCCCTCCTGTGATTTTTGTTTTCTTTTTCAAATATTTGCCAAAATTTGTTTAACAGAGCAAGGAATTTTCCACAGTATTTCCTGTAATATTTTTCCTTCAGGTGAAAGTCTTATTTGTTTTATTTCGGCTAGAATAAAGAAGTTTTTAATATCTTTAAGCCATTTTAAAGTCAATATTATTAACCCCCTTAAAGGTGTTTTATGTAAGTTTTTGACTCTTCTAAAGCATAAAAATACCATAATAGGTTTGCAGATATTAAAGAAACATGCTAAATGAACATTCTTGTTTATCTGAAAAAGTCAGATATTCTGGATTAGAAATGTCTTTTACATGCCGGAACTGCTGTCTTTGTTTTGCTTCTTTTAACCCGCCCGTCACTTTAGCCAATTATATTTCAGCCCTCCGGGCTACCTTGCTGGAAAACAGCGCATTTCATTCATTCAGTCATTTAGAAAGACTCTCAAAGCATGCATCCATGACTGAAATGCGACCTCCGGTGCAGTAGCAGACTCTGAAATGAGACGCAGATTCAGAGTTCCACGTAAACATTAGGTGCATAAACATTAGGTGAGCAGGTTACATTGTAACCTCATGTCCTAACAACACGCTACGTGATGAGATTTGCAGTGATAAGCGATTTGGCTGTTTGCGCCAGACGAAACACGACAGAAATTTAAATACAGCCATTCAGAAGCACAGAATATGCACTCACTCACGAAATGGTAAGATTTATATTCTGATTAATACATATTAAACCTCTTTAACTTTTTTTAAATGTACATGCTGAATCACTGATATGTGTTGGTTTTGAGTCACAGTTCTGAAGTTCAATTTCAAACAGTTTAATTTTCAAAATCTGAGCTGAACTATCTGCTGCTCTCAGTAGTACGGCAATAAATGTCATGTGAAACAGCATTCAAACTCACATTATTAGCATTTAACACTGAATAAAGCACATAAGGTGCACCAGAGGTGATCATTGTCAGTATTCTGTTTAGAGCTGTAATCGGGCCATAAAAACTAGGCTCGACAGAGCCCAAGCCTGACAGGTACATTTTGATTGACAGCTTTATAAAACCCGAACCCGTTTACAGCCCGACATTATTCAAATGTGCACAGGCACACAGCTCTTTTGCCTTTTTTCAAGAATGAGTTATTTATATGTTTTAACATAATTTATTCGTAACAAACGTAGAATATATGCCACTTGGAAGTTGGAACAAAGAAATAAAATAAGTCCTCTGTAACATCGTAACATCTCAGCACTCTAGGTACATAAAGTTAGCCTTTAAATTGGCCAACACACCAATAAAAAAATAAGTCTTTCCTAACAAATTAAATTAAAATTAATTCTAAATTTGGCAATTAAGATAAAGGCTCTGCGAGATTTGTTTCGCCACTTTTCATAACAATCTGGCATTGAGGCGACGGAATATTAAAAGAATAGCCTGATGCCAACATTAGCCTATATACTCTGTCTACAATATGATTTCATAGCTTAATCAATATTTATTTATATTTTAAAAACCCTTTACTCACCAGGACTAGGCTACATGTTATTTTTGTGGAGGAACATTATTGAATCCACTGTAAATAGCCCCTTTCACACATACAGACCTTTCCGGAAAATTGCCGGCAATTTTCCGGAAAGGTTGTATGTGTGAACAGGTCCTTTTTGAAAATACCGGTAAATTTATTCTGGCTATTTTGCGGAAAGAGAAGTTGTAAGATTACCGGCAATTTGCCGGAATGCTGCGCTGTGTGAATGCAGAAGGAAGATTGCCGTAATAAGCGCGTGCACGTCTAGAACGTGCTGACGTGAGACGTCTGCTTTAGCCAATCACAACAGTCAGACGCATTTATGTCCGCGCGGTTTGTGAGGATAAAAGCCTTTGAATATTTTTCCAGACGCATTTAGCTGCTAGAAGTTAGTCAGATCACGTTTATATGTTCTTCTTAATGCCAACTGTGTAAATAATCATCGATGAGAAGCTTATGATAAGCCGTTGTTTGTTTACCTTCAAGCTTTGCATGTGCCTGTGAAACAGCCTGTGAGCGCCAGCACACGCACATATTATGAACATCTCGACATGCGAAAGTGATCCTGCGAAAGTTGTTCACAATATTGATCATCCACAGAGTTTGTAATTTAGTCAAATGTTTACAAATACAAGCGCAGACGTTTAAAGCTCATTTGTGGTGAATGATGTCAGAATTTACCGGTATTTTGGAATGGATGTGTGAATGCTCTTTTCCGGAAAATTTCCGTAACGTGCTCGCCTGTGTGAACAGCGCTTTTTTGAATATACCGGTAAAGTCGTTCCGGAATTTTTCCAGATATTTACCGGTATCACTGTGTAAAAGGGGCTAATGGCTTTAGCATAGTCCTGCGCTCAGGATGGTGTGTCCAGCAGCACCGAACACCCTTTCACTGCTGCTGCTACAACCCGAGATGCACAGTACTGATCTAGCTAATTTTGCAACTTTTGGGTAGGAATTTTTGATCATTTTTACCAACCAAGAACATCGATTTAATTTTCCATGACAGCAGTTTCAATGTAGTGAGTGGCCTCATCATCTTCCCTGTCAGCTTGCTGTGCTGTTTAGTGATCTACCGTAATACGCAGTGTATGAGTGACCGCAGAAATACGCCGCTAGAATGACAGGTTCTTTCTGAACTGGTGGCTGGCCTGACTGCAGTCAAAATTAGTTTTTTTTTACTTCTCCGTCATCTTTTGTTTCACCTTTGCAAGGAGGGAATTTATTGTTGTAACAAACAATTTAATTTCTTTCTCGCGCTAATCGAAATGCATCACATGACTGTTCATTTACTGCGCAAGCCAAGCCCGGCCTGACCCGACCCCGTCTAAAATGATAGAAATTAAACCCGAACCCGTCAGGTCCCGCCAGGTCCAGGCAAAGATCTTCAGCTCTATTTCTGTTGTTCAGCGACAAGAAATAGAAGCCGTTTCTAATATATCAATTTGAGGTGTTGGTTAGAGCAAAAACTTCATTTAATACGGAAAATATTCTTTCTATTGCGTGCTGTTGCTTTTAATTACAACACGATTTAAATCAGTCTTTAGGCTTGATAGTCAGGCTTGGTCCTCTGGGTCATCTGGCAACCTGCACTTGTGTTTATTTTAATCCAGGAATGCAATACCTAGTTCAACCCCTGGGTGTCAAACTTACATACTGCACCTTTAAACAATATTGTTTTTCAATTGTCAACAGAACAAACCATCATTATGCAATAACTTGACTAATTACCCTAATTAACCTAGTTAAGCCTTTAATGTCACTTTAAGCTGTATAGAAGTGTCTTGAAAAATATCTTGTCAAGTATTATTTACAGTCATCATGGCACAGAAAAAATAAATCAATTATTAGAAATGAGTTATTAAAACTATTATGATTAGAAATGTGTTGAAAAAATCTATGCTAAACAGAAATTGTGTGAAAAATATACAGGGGAGCTAATAATTCAGGGGGCTAATAATTCTGACTTCAACTACAGAACACAATAAGATTAGAAAGAGTGCATTTCGATTCAGTCACCTGACTCTGGGTGCCAGGGGTCAAAAACAGCAGACATGGGTGGGACGGTGAGCGGAGACGCGCCGCAGTTTGACTCCACCAGGACTCCCTGTATGGAGGCAGTGGACGGGCCGGTCCTGAGCGCCGCCTTCAGAGGAGAGATCCGGTTGAACTGAACTCTGGACAAACAGCCCACGAATCCTGGAGTGTTGTATCGCTCTATCAACACCGGATCAATCTGACCCGTTTCTGAAAGACACACACAACAGCACCAAATATCAGCTAGAGGGATCAACAGTGTTAATTAAAATATTCAAAATCTGACAATTTACCTTATTACTGTTAATCTCATTGCAAAATGTAAAATGTAGTGCTGGGCAAAAATTAATCGTGATTAATCGCGTGCAAAATAAAACTTTGCTCAATTGGTACTAATGGCTCCCAAGTGTGCCAAGGAAATATCCCCCACACCATTACACCACCACCACCAGCCAGAACCGTTGATACAAGGCAAGATGGATCCATGCTTTCATGTTGTTGATGGCAAATTCTGAGCCTACCATCCAAATGTCGCAGCAGAAATCGAGACTCATCAGACCAGGCAACATTTACAAATTTTTAAAGTCACTTAAATCCCCTTTCTGATGCTCTGTTTGAACTGCAGCAGATCGTCTTGACCATGCATAAATTAATTAAGCTGCTGTCATGTGATTGGCTGATTAGAAATTTGTGTTAACGAGTAGTTGGACAGTGTAAATACACACATGTATACATATATTTGAGAAAATGTTTATTTATATTTAGATACAAATTATATTATACAAATGATATATCAGTTTAAATATTAATATCAATTTCACTGTGGCGACCCCCGTTTAATAAAGGGACTTAGCCGAAAATAAAATGAATGAATGAATGTGATTTTTTTTCTTTAAATATTTTCTAAATAATGTTTAACAGAGCAAGGATCTTAAAAAAAGATAAAGAGACATAAAAATACTTGTCATCTTGACTCTTTTGTCATCTAGAATTTTAATAAAATTTTACGATACGGTTTATGTAGTATTTTTGATCAATTAAATGCTACTTTAGGGTGACGTAGTGGCGCAGTAGGTAGTGCTGTCGCCTCACAGCAAGAAGGTCGCTGGTTAGAACTTCGGCTCAGATGGCTTTTCTGTGTGGAGTTTGCATGTTCTCCCTGCGTTCGGGTGGGTTTCCTCCGGGTGCTCCGGTTTCCCCCACAGTCCAAAGACATGCGGTACAGGTGAATTGGTTAGGCTAAATTGTCCATAGTGTATGAGTGTGTGTGTGTGTGGATGTTTCCTAAAGATGTGTTGCAGCTGGAAGGGCATCCGCTGTGTAAAAACCTGCTGGATAAGTTGGCGGTTTATTCCGCTGTGGCGACCCCGGATTAATAAAGGGATTAAGCCGACAAGAAAATGAATGAATGAATGAATGAATAAATGCTACTTTAGAAAAAACTAAACAAAATCTTACATTATCAATAAGTGTGAAGATGTTTTTCAGGTTTTAGACGGTCATCCAATAAAATTTTAAAAAGTCACAGGAATATTCATCAAAAGGAATAATATAATTAAAAAATCAATTCAGAATATTACAGTTTTTATTATATTTTTTTATTCAAATGAATGCAGCCTTGATGAGAGATTTAAAAGGAAGCTCTTAATCAAATTTAAGTTGAGTTTTGTTTTTCATTTCAATTCAACATCCAGTGGCCATTTCAATTACACTGTAAATAACATCTGTTAATTACAGCTTCCATATTTTGTGTGTTTTCTGTTTATTTAAGCTACAATGTAAAAAAATAAACCTACTTTTACAGAAGAAATTTTTTTACAGTAATTTTTTTGTCATTTCACATTATATTCAAAACTTTGTAAAATGATAAATACTCTCTAAATTAACAATTTGACTTATATTTTAGATACTTTAGTAATAAAGACTAATTACTGACATTTGTGTTTTTGATACAGGGAAATTACAGTGTTATTTTTACAGTATTCTTTCTGTTATTTTAAATCATATTCAAAAGTTCATAAAAATTACAAACAATATCTGTAAATTAACAGCTTGACTGTTATTTTATGTACTATATAAGTAATGACAAATTACAGCAATTTGTCTGTTTTATACAATAAAATTGCTGTATTATTTAAACAATTTTTTTTACAATAAAGTGACACACTAAGATTGCTTACATGCACCTGTTCCGGATTCCGCTGATTGCGCACACACACACCCACACCCACACCCACACACCCACACACACACACACACACACACACACACACACACACACACACACTCGGAGGATCGTTATGAACTGATTACATGGACTTTAAAAGCAGCACACCAATTGCTTAGTCTTGTTATACTGTTACTGTGAACATTATGACGCGTTTCTCTTCTTTTGCCTTGCTGTGTTTGTTAATTGTTTACGCTGTTTGCTGCCGGGACTGATCATTTGCTTTTTATTAGACCATGACTCTGGATTCCCTGCACACATCTGTTTGCAGGTCGCCCCTGTGTTGACTGTTGCTTACCTGACCATCTCTGTGTAATAAACCTGCATTTGGATCTGCACTCCTTTGTCAGCGTCCCCTTAACGTTACAGTTCCATTTTATTTACGATTTGGAACTGAATCATTCCATATAACTTAAACCTCTACATGTTTTACAGGAATACTATGTACTTTATACTTCAATAAAATGTAACTAATGTTATAGTTGTGAGAATTTTAATTAGTTTTATCTCGTTTGTTGTTTTTTCCACACTTTTTTGATCCAAAATAAAACTGTTAAATTACGACCATGAGTATGTCTTGGCATTATATTAAAGGTGTTTACTTGTAATGATTTAGGGAAGATTCTTTTAAATAACATTGTTTTCTCTTGAACTTTTAGAGCAGTCACTTTATTGATGGTGTTCGATCATAATAATCTAGGAACAGTCTGTAAAATAACAGTGTTTCTCTGTTAAACTCTTATTGTGTAACTTTATTGTATGGATTTGATCGTAATAATCTTGGAAAAGTCTGTAAAAAGACAGTGTTTTTCTGTAAACATTTTAATGAAAATATCTGTGGATTTATCATTTTTTGCACTTTATTTCAACAAATTAATTTTACCGTAATTTTATAATTTTTGTTTGGCAGCAGCAGCTGCCAGTCATTTGACCTTTTTTTTTAACGAACTGTTTTTTTTACAGTGTATTGAGTTGCATTATGGGATGTTGATCTCTGCTCTGTCAATTTTTGATGTTGAAAATTCAACTTTACAGTTAAACAAAGTCACTTTTATTGACATTTTAGTAGTTTGAAATAATATAAATAATATATAGAGAAATGAGTCTGTAAAATAACAGAAAATGTAATGGCAGTTAGTTACAAGGTGTTTGTAGTGTAAGATACATTACCATCCCGGACAATATATCACTTTAATCTATCAAAAATGTCAATAAAATTCACTTTTTTTACTTTTCAAGGTTAAAAGTTGTTGGAAAAATTCTAAATCATTAATTAAAATAAAAAAAATTAAATAAAAAAATAAAAACATGAATAACAAAATATGAAAACCTGCTAGATAGATATTTTTACTGTGTGTAATTTGGTCCTAAATGCTTACCAAACACCTTTCCAAGGAAAATGGTCTTGACCAGGTTGAATTCAGTGTCTGAGGCTTCAGGAAGAGTGTAGCTCGCTGTAGGGTAATGATCCACCTGCAACAATAATCCAAGAATAAAGTCACCATAAAGTTGTGTTTATGAGCATCTGACGTCCTTATCCAGACTGATATACAGTAGACAGAGACAGATATTCTGTACCTGCAGCTGAATGAGTCTTTCTTGTCGGCTGATGTTGACGTTATGAGGCTGACCGTTCGCCATGTTACGATGGTTTAGGCTGATGCTAAACGGTTCTTTCAATCCACCCAGATTATAGCGGATCTGCAGAGTACCTAAAGGAAAAACACAGTGTTGAGGGTTTATAAGCAGGGCTGGCTATTATCTGTAACTACAATCAAAATAGAGCTGAAATGACAAAACAACATTTTCATTACTGCTAGATGAAATAAAAGTGAATAAAATATCTAATTTAGTTTGTAAAAATCTTTACCTACAATGGAAACAAAATGTGGTTAAATATGGTTAATACAAAATGTGGTTAAATAATGTTAACAAATGGATATATATATGTAGTAAATATAACATTTATATATTATTGTTTTATATGTCTATGTACAGTTTCTATTTATTTTTTAGGTTATATACAAAATAAAAAAAAATAAATAAATATTAAAAATGATAAATAATAAAATAAATATAATAAATAGTAAATATATAAAAATAGATATTAAATAATTAAAAAATATATAATTATATGCCGATATATATATATATATATAGTCATGTTTGACCTGATCTGTTGTGACAGTCATGTGATCTGTTGTTTAAATGTGTTTCAACTATTTTTATCTCTATTATAAAATGTTGGTGTTTTAGCTTAATTTGTAAATATTCTCTTTTAACATCTATATGACCATGTCTATTTTAGTACTTTTTAAATGTTTGATAGATTGTATAATTTTTGTATTGTTTTTTCTAGGTTGTTAAGGGACAACAGATGAAAAATAGCAGAAATGCTAATTAATGTACACTGTCCCTGCCAAAAAAAAAAAAAAAAAAAAAATATATATATATATATATATATATATATATATATATAGTCATAATAATTAGCCCCCTTTTTAATTTTTTTTTCTTTTTTAAATATTTCCCAAATGATGTTTAACAGAGCAAGGAAATTTTCATAGTATGTCTGGTAATATTTTTTCTTCTGGAAAAAATCTTATTTGTTTTATTTCGGCTAGAATAAAAGCAGTTTTTATTTTTTAAAACACCATTTTTGGGACAAAATTATCAGCAACTTTAAGTTAATTTTTTTTTCGATTGTCTACAAAACAAACCATCATTATACAATAACTTGCCCAATTACCCTAGCTTGCCTAGTTAACCTAGTTAAACCTTTAAATGTCACTGTAAGCTGTACAAAAGTGTCTTTAAAAATATCTAGTCAAATATTATTTACTGTCATAAAGATAAAAGATAAAATAAATCAGTTATTAGAGAGGAGTTATTTAGTTATTTAGAACATTAGTGTTACCAATATAACTAAACAAATAAATTTTTTAAATTAAACTAATGAACATTAAACTAATGAACACATGAACATACTGCAAAAACACACACACATCAAGACATAACTAAATTTCCACTTATAAAAGCATTTCAACGTCAATAAAAACAACATCATCTAAGGCTATTATTAAGAAAAATAAATGTGTCCCTCATATCCCCAAAGCTTTAAATCAGAGTTGTCTCACCATTGTGTCTCAGCACTACGGCCAGGTAGTCCTGTGTCTTTGAGCTGATGTAGATGAGGACAGCCGGCGTGTTGGATGTGCTGAAGCTAAAGCTGAGCTCCTCGTGCGTCAGATTACCCACAATGCCCAGCACCGCAGACTCGCCTTCCTTTAGTGCAGGAGAGGAAGTGCTGCTCTCGGACATCAGGTCAAAACGCACCAGCGTCCCACTCTCGAAATACCCTCCAACATCTGTAACAGAGACAAATGCTTACTTCTGTTCTGCCACAGAGAACACAAGCAGGGAAGATTTAAATGTGTTACAACACAGATTCAGATCATCTAACGCCTTTATTTTAACTTTATAGCACATATATAGCATTATTAATAGGGTTCAAATGTGAATTTTTAGGCATTTTTCCTTTTTTATTCAGTAAGGATGAATTTAAGTGATAATAATCAACATTACAGACTACAAATACATTTTTTTTTATTATTAAATTAAATATATTTATCAGAATTAATAGTCATATTTTTCTTACTTCCTGTCTATTTGTTGCATCATAAGTGCTATATTTATATTTATTACCATAATAACCAATGTAAAAGCTCCTTTACAGACACACTAAGCAATAAACATTTATTTTTTCATAATAATTTTATCCATACCATCATTGCAGAACGGCCCATCAAAGGCGGTCTGACTGCAGTCGCATGAGTATCCATTGTACTTTTCGATGCATTTTCCTCCATTCTGGCAGTGCATCCCATAACTACTACAGTGGCCCGAACATCCAGGCTTCACCCCCGGCGTGACCCTTGCCCTTCCCTCGAGATCAAGGGTCACTCCATTGACCTTTAGTGATCGAATGCAGCCCAGAAATCCTCTCTGACCACCCGAAGCACCTAAAGATCAACACGGATATAAAGAGATTTAAGTCTGAAACAATAAACGTTTACATTAAGGCCTTATTAGTGAACATGAACTGATAATTAAGCATGTGTTACATGATTTTTTGTTAATGTTAAATTAAGGCGAGACGTTTTAGGCAATTGCACATTATTTTCATGCTGCGGTGCTTTTTTGGTGCTTTTTTCAGTATAATGTAAATAAACTATCCAAAATACATGTTTACGTTTTTATTTATCCACACTTTATCAATTTGTATCTGCAGATTTTAATTACAAAACATATTGTTGGAATAAGATCAGGGGTCCGTTCTTCGTACGTGGATTACTCAGTTAGCTGGATTTGGATATTGACGATTTGACACGATCCAGGATCGTTTCGTTCTTCAAAGCTGATCCGAGAGTTGTTGTCATAGCAACAGTTCTGCTAGGTCAAACCTGATCGGGAGCAGGTTCAATTCATATAAACAGGATTAGATCGGCTTAGTTCAAGCAAAGATAATACAGAAAAAAGTATGTTCTGATTTCTGATATTTTCTTACAGTAGTGGTTATATACACTTGGGAAAATGGTACATATTTTTTAATTATATATATAAAGTTATAGTCATTAATAAAATAAACAAAGTTATACATATTAATAAAACTTCCCTCGAAGTTCGAAATGAAAGTACAAAGGCTGCCATCTGGTGGTGCAAAGAGAAAACTTATTGATATGAATTTTTTAGATTGCTTTAGTACAAATTGTGTATGATAATAGAAATGCACAATATGTGACTTTTTTTTTAAAGCAATAATACATTTATGCAGTCATGAACATGTTTTGACAGTTAATATGCCAGTGATTTGATGCTTCACAAAAGTTGCAGACGCCTTTACCATATCAAAATGCTTTTGTAAACAACCAGTTATTCTTTACACCGATAAAAAACGGCTACTATAATAAAGAAAATCTTTTCTAAATGTTGAACTAAATACATTAATATGCATTTAAATACATGATGAATACTCTTGACACATGAAAGTGTAAAGCCTGCAGCTCACAACAAATGTGGAAAGTTATTGCGTGTCATATTTAACAAGCCGTTTACAGCTAATTTGATGTAATTTTGCTCACATGGATAATTGAATATTAATCAGATGATGTCATTACGCTGCTGTGCCGTCAGCCAATCGTTGCATTGCTGATCATGATTTCGAGGAATGATAGATCTGTCTTTCACAACACACGCAGCGATCTCAGATCAGTTTATCCAGACATTCTAATCTGATTCGCGAACTAGTTTGAAGAACCAAATTAGCCAGAGATCAGTTATCAAGATTAAAAGATCCATGATCTGTCAAATCATCTTAGATCATTTAAGTGAGGTACGAAGAACGGACCCAAGGTCATTTTCAGGGCAATTTCAAAATAGAAAACTATAAAGCATTTTTTATTACTATTAGATAAAATGAAACCCAAATAAAAACATAATAATTTCTAATATTCACATTTATATTTATATTTATGTATGCTGCAGTAAGACAATGACCCAAAGCACACCATCAAGTCCATTTCTGAATGGCTGAAGAAAAACAAAATAAGGATTTTGCGTGGCCTAGTCAAAGTTCGGATCTCAATCCAATTGAGATGAAGTGGCATGACCTTAAAAAAGGCAGTTCATGCTTGACAACCATCCAATGTGGCTGAATTACAACAATTCTGCAAAGATGAGTGAGCCAAAATTCTTCCACAGGGCTGTAATGGACTCATTGAAAACGCATTATTGCAGTTATGAGCTTTAGGGGGCAAACACTTTTTCACACAGGGCTATGTAGTTTTGTATTTTGTTTTCTCTTAATAATAAAAACCTTATATTCAGAGCTACATGATTGTTTTATCTATGACTAATATTTAAATTAGTTTGATGATCTGAAACATTAAAGTGTGACAAACGTGCAAAACAATAAAAAAATCATTAAAGGGGAAGCACTTTTTAAAAAATAGTTTTATATAGTTTTTTTTATTTCATTAGTAGCAATAATAAAATGTTGTTTATAGTTTTAGTTGTATTTTTACTTACTGCTAATAGCCCTAATATGTATATGTAATGCAGTACTGTGCAAAAGTTTTAAGCTAAAACTAAATCTGTTGTTTCACTGATGGTATAATGGATATATGTGACCCTTTACCACAAAACCAGTCATAAGTGTAAATGTTTTTGTAATTTAAGCAAAAATTAGATATATACAGGGTGAATAAATGATCTTTCAGTTGATGGATAGGAGTTAGATTAGGTTAGAGTTTGAATTATTTTGGTTTAATTGTTTAAAAGACATGTAAAGGGCAATGTAGAGTGAGAGAGTCTGTCCTGGTTTGAGCTGCATTTCTACCAGTGTTGTTAGCAATATTGTCTGAGTTGTTGGAATTGGGAAAAGTACAGTTAGGTTTTAGTCCATAATGCCATTCCTTTTGGTAATGACTTCAGTAATAATAGTTTTCCTTTTCGGCATGATAATGATCCGCTAATTGCAGTAAAATCCTGTTTGGAGAAAGAAAACAGCTGGTGAAACACAGACCCTAATATTTTTGGCCCCGTTTACACTGCCAGTTAAATGTGACCCAATTCAGATTTTTTTGCTCATATGTGACACAGATCAGATCTGTTCTATGACCGTGTAAACAAACAAACACACACAAAAAGCATGAATTCTGATATTCAGAGATCAGTTTTAGACCTCCTTCATATGTTGAAATTAATCAGCTATAAATCCGATATGTGACAATGCTACTGTCATTAAAGTAGACAGGCAGGCATTACATTTTGTACGCCATTAAACTTGTGACAATGTGGTACTTCTTTGCCAATGATGACCCTTTCCTTCCTCCTCGGCCTCCAAATCAGTTTACAGTTAGGTGAACTTGGCATATTCCGCAGAACTAAAAACAAGACAATTTCTTTTATGGTGGCTAGTGAGGCGCAGATGCTAGAACCCGCCTTTACACATGCGCGATGTTGTAAACTGTATAGCAAGTGTAAACACATGAAATGAATATGGGTCACAATTAAAAGAATGTGTAAACGGAAAATCAGATATAGGCAACAAATCAGAATTAGGCATCAAAACCTGACAGTGTAAACGTGGCCACAGAGGCTGTATGAGATCACATGGACACAAAAAGAAAGATAAGACACTCTAAATCTAAAGAAGAACTCTGGAAAGTGCTAAAAGAAGCCTGATATAATCACACAGCACATTATTTCAGAAAATGGCGGGACAATTAGAACAAAACAGTTCAAGCTGTGTTGGGTGCAAAGGGAAGCCACATTAATCATACACTTTTGCTTGAAGAGGAAATGATGTGCGGTTGATGTTTTTTTTTAGTACATATTTCCTATATTTTCTGTTTGTTTTTAATAAAGAGATTTATTATATAATGTGCAAGAGTCTTAGGCTAACAAAACTGGTATAGTGCTTAGCACTTTTGCACTGTACAGTATACTGTACGTAAAAAAATCTGTATTGTTATTAAAATCTACAGATACAAATTGATAAAGTGCGTTTTTTTGGATGTTTTCTTTACATCACATTGAAAAAAAGCACAAAAAACACTTCATGACATCAGAAAATCACTAGATATTCAGAAATATAATTCACTGATTAATGAAATTTTAACTGCTGAACTAAATTCCCGACTTCTTACCTACAAACAGCTGGCTGAAGAGCTGCAGGCGGGTGTGGCCCTGAGGCGGTGCTGACCGCGCCTCCCTGTACAGCTTATCCACTCGCAAAACAGCCTCCTTGATATTGCGCTCCGCCTCCACCCTGTGCCACTGGTCGTCATTGAGGGGTGTAGATGAGCGAACGCTTAACTCCACCAGCCCGTTGCCCACATCAAATGAAAACGACACCACTGATGCCGCTGAGAGAAACAGAGATGGTACTGTTAATTAAACTGATTAAAATGATTGTGTCTGCATCAAATCAATTCAATTCTATTTTTTTTGTATAGATCTTTCACTTTAATTATTGTTTCAATGCAGCTTTACAAAAGGTGCACATTAATGTATTACTAACAAATTAGGAAAAGTTAAGGTTATTAGTTACCATAACTCTAACTAATAAACTAGTAACTAATAGCTTTTGACAGTTAAAGTTATTATATACTAACATAGTTAACCTGCAGTTATACGGAATATAATGTCCATCTTCAATACATAAAAAATAAGACATTTTATATACAGAGAAAGCATATTAAATGCAAGTAAAATGTCTACTTTAATGTTTCAAATGACTTGAAAAATGTAAAAAATAAATAAATAAAAAAAACCCTGAAATAATATTCATTTGTCATTAAAAGTAACGCATATGGTTATGCAAAAATGAATTATGAATGGAGAATAAAATATATAAAAGGATCACATTTTAAATGATCACTTGATAATAAACAAATAGTTAAAAGCTAGTGGTTTAAAGGATGGTGGATTCAAAATGAAAATTAATGAGTGTTTTGAAGGCCTGTGATCCTTTTAATGCATCACAATCTATTTATTTTTGTGAATATGATTGAGAGAATTTTTTCCATTTAACTATTATAACTTATTTGCCATTTAACTATCCAGAATGCTGCTGCCAGAATTCTGACCAAAACCAGAAAATCAGAGCACATCATACCTAAGCTCAGGTTTTTACACTGGCTCCCAGTTACATTCAGAATAGATTTTAAAGTATTGTCTATAAATCACTAAATGGCGTAGGACCTCAATTCATTACAGATATGCTCACTGAGTGCAAACCCAACAGATCACTCAAATCTTGAGGATCATATAAACTAGAAATTCCAAGAGTTCGGTCAGAGCAGGGTGAATCGGCTTTCAGCTACTGCACCACCTACTGCTGGAATCAGCTTCCAGAAATGATCAGATGTGCTCCAACATTATACAAATCAAGACTGAAAACACATCTGTTCAGCTAATTACGAACTGAGCTATAAATACGAAACATAACAGTTTATACAATAAAAAATATAATACAAAACGAATAAAAATGACAAGTTAACATTAAAAATGTAAAATAAAATAAGCTAATTATTTTAGCTTACACATTATAATAGTGCATAACCAATAATAAAATAACACTGCCACTGGTTTTTAAACTCACTGATAAATTAACGAAGAAAATCTCAATGCTTAAAGTAAAATGCTTTGAAGTGGGCGTATTTCTTTGATGTGAGGTGTAATTTCAACTGAAACATGAAATGGGCGGAGCATAGAGTGGCCCCTCCCCCTTTAAAAAAACAACCAATGGAGTTTTGTTTTCATAACAGCCTTGCCAGTGAGAGTGGCTGAGTTTAAGTGCATCAAATGAAAAGCAAATGAGACTTATCTTGAAGGGGGCGGGGCATGTCAGATACTAGAGAGCATTTGATTTGTCAGAAGATTTGATGAAAAACTAAAGTATGAGGTGACTTTAAAAAAAATAATTGATCCATTTAGGTGGAAGTGACAAACTGCAAACTTTAGATGTTCATATCTTCCTAATGCGAATTTTGTCACTGTTTCGTAACACACTAGACATCCTTCAGACAAACATACTGATGCTAACATCTAAAAAACTTTATTTTGATTTCATAGGGACTTTAAAGCGCAGTTCCTCACAGTGCTTAAAAGGTAAATCCTCTCGAGGGGAAGTGATAAAAATAAGCTTACAACTGAGTTCTAGGCGAATGAAGTCGGGGTTGCCCAGGTTCTCCAGAAAGACTCCGTGTGAAGCCGATGTCTTAAAATAAAAGGACACATCAGCACTGGTCTCAGCTTGTAAGGTTGGAAAATGAAGATAAGATGCAGGTGTGTTGAAAGAAGCAGCGTTCCAGTAGTGACCTATAAATGAAACACACAGGCAAATCAGAAGAGGTTTGTTTTGGTAACATTTAAAGCAGCAGTGTGTCATTTCTACAGCATTTAAAGGGGTCCTATTATGCTCTTTTTGTACAAGATCTAAAATAAGTTTTGATTTGCCTAGAGTGTGTATGTGAAGTTTCAACTTTGAAAACCAAACAAATAATGTTTTATAACTCTTTAAAACTGACCCTTTTAGGCTTTGATCCTAAATGTGCCAATTTGGTTACTGCCGCTTTAAATTCAAATGAGATTGTGCTCCTTTCAAAAGAGTGCGGAGCTACAAATGCCTGTGTGTCAGCATAGTGGCAGATTCAAAAACAAGACTAACATCATATGCTTAAAAGGAAGAGATCGTCACTGACACGTACAAAAGAATGTCAATCAAAGTGTTTCTGCAGACTGGTGTTATAATGTGTGATTATAAAAAATAAAATAAATATATTTTTACCATTAGAATCTTGTTATATTCATAGACTGTTGCCACACAACTGTGTTTAAACCCATTACAAAAGTTATTTTTGCTATTATAATTAATTATATAGTTTTTATAATAGGTCTACTTTAAAGAAACATTGGAGTTACAGTGGTCGCAAAAATTACTAGCTAAAGATGGTTTTAAAGGTGCTGTCTGTAAAATTTTGACTCTTCTAAAGCTTAAAAATACCAAAATATGTTTGCAGATGTTTAAGAAACATGTTAAGTGAACATATATATCTACAAATCAGTGCTAAAGTCAGTTATTGTCCTTTGCAAATGTGCGTTCCTGGTCAGAATGTCTGTATTTGTTTTGGTGTCTGTACTGTCCTCCAATTGGTGTTGTTAATAGACAGATTAACAACACCATTGTTATCATCTTTTTTTTTTTTTTTTTTACAATTTTCTGTCATATTTTTGTAGGGAAAGGGTCTAACAAGCAAAACTGTAAGAATTTCAATTATTACAAATTTTTTTTTAATTATTACATATGCAAATTTGTCTAACACCCCCAATCATGAAGCAGTCCAGCAGTCAAATCAAGTAAAGGTTTAGTTTGAAAAAACATTCATTATTTTCGGTTTATATATTAGGCCATTTTTAGTTTTGAATTCATTTTAAGATAACAAATCATTTAAAATGTAGATATTCCATAAGGATAAGGCATAGAAAATAGACTGAGTGGTATTAGAAGGTTTTTTATGATTAAAAAGGTGTATTTTAGGATTGTTGGGCCCCATGGGTGGAATTGCTTAGGGTCCCCAAATCACCAAATCCTAAATACCTGTTGGCAGGTATGTATTTTTAGGCACATTTTTGAGGTAAAAATGCTGTAAAATGAGAATGTCTTCAAAAATAATGCCATAAATATGTTATTTATAAATTAACTTGCAACAAAAAAAATTTAATCAACATTTAGTGTAACCACCCTTTGTATTTAAAACCTCTTTTCCCAAAAGCTTTTCAGGTAGGTCTCTTAAAGACTCTTAACGTGCCTAGGAAATAAAATGATGTTTCTGACTGACACACTACAGTAAAAGATAGAAATAACTGACTTGAAACCACTTTTAGCTTAAAACAGTGTTTCTGATATATTGGAACCACCATTGCTTTAACCTATATCATTTCTAGTTGTTTATTTAATCAGACGGAAAAAGTATGTCAAACACGGATATCCTGCTTGGCTAAAGTACATTATAGTTGATACCGTTTTAAAAAGCACTTACGATCTCCTTGGCAGCGCAGCGGTCCGACGGTGAGTTTGGCTTCAGATCCAGAGCGATAAATATCCCCAACCACAACCTGACTCACAGGTAAATGATCCTTATACATCAACATACCAGCATCTTCTTTCCTGGAGAAATATACACCACGCAGAGGATGAATGATAGACCACAAGGGGGCAACATAACATTGCACAATGCAGCAGAAGAAAGAATTTATACTCTCAGAAATAAAGAAGGGATGTATATTTTAAAAAGGTACTAATATATAATAATTGGATACTAATATGTACAATTGAGTTACTAATATGTTTCTTTGAGTTTCAAATAAGGACTGTGTATTGATAAATGACAAAGATACACTTTTTTGGTGTAGTTAGCTTTTGTACCATTTTCAAAATACAAATGGTTTGTAAATACTGCAATACTTAATTTTGCAGTGAAAAATAATCATTAACAAAGTAAGCATATTTATTGTGCATATATGTTAAGAACAGTATTTGTAGCTGTATTTCCAAACTGCTGACTAATGTCTATTAGTAATGTCCGGGCATTGCCACGGTTGCAGTTGGTTCAAAATGCGGCAGCTAGACTTTTAACAGGCACCAAAAAACATGTTCATATCTCACCAATTTTAGCATCCCTTTATTGGCTTCCTTTTAATTTTAGAATTCAGTTCAAGATTTTACTTATAGTTTTTAAAGCACTAAATGGACAAGCACCTTCTTATATATCAGAACTTATTAACTTACAGTCAACTCCTCGGTCTCTTAGGTCCTCAAATAAAATTTTACTGCAAATTCCTCGATCACGACTTAAATTGAAAGGACATAGAGCCTTTGCAGTCGCTGCTCCTCGTTTGTGGAACCAGCTGCCACCGGATATTACGAGTGTTTCTTCTCTCTCTATTTTTAAGTCTAGACTTAAGACACATTTTTATTATATTGCATTCCCAGGCTTTTAATCTTTATTATGGTTGTTGCTGTAATACTTTTATTCCTATTATTACTTTTATTGTTATTTTTACTCTTTTAGAGTGTGTGCTATGGTTTTGTTCAGCACTTTGGTCAGTGCCAAACTGAAGTAAATGTGCTTTATAAATAAACTTTACTTACTTACTTACTATTAATGTAGAGTTAATGCTAAACAAATGATGAATTAACTATTTGCTAATGCTTAATAAATGATTAGATAGCGTGTAGTTATTATAAAGTGTTACCCCACTGACAGTGTATGTTAAATCTGAAATATTAGTGTACTGCATAGTGTGTATAGCATAAGTTAAAATGTACTAGTTTTAGTAGTTGTAAATCAATCAGAAGAGTCAATTTTTACATTCGAGATTATTTTCTGAAATATTTATTCAAGATACAACTATTAAAAAATCTGAAATCTTGAAAAATCTAAAAAAAAAAAAAAAAAAAAAAAAAAAAACTTGCCCAAATTGAGTTCTCAGCGATGTATATTCCTAAACAAAAATTGAGCATTGATATTTACAGTAGAAAATTTATAAAAATATCTTTATGGAACATTATGTGACATTCTAATGATTTTGGTACAAAAGATAAATAAATAATTTTGACTCGTTTAATGTATTTTTGGCTGGTGCAAAAAGATGTCTGTGCAACATAAAACTGTGTGACTTTCAGAAATTTGAGAAGATTTAAAATTAAAGTTTGTTTATGAAATGAGGAATTGGGAATGCAGTATCTTTATACATGCAAAAATATGCTTATTAGCTATCCAATATTACTTTTTTCCCCTAACACAGTATGCAACTCTAAAAAATTGAAGAGACTATTTAAAATTTTTCTAGATTCCTAATTTATAGCTATTAATTTGACTAAAATATTGTTTTTGTTTTAATCTTTAAAGAAAGGATCACATTTCTTCAAAATTGTAAATAAAAATGGTATAATTTAGAGCATGTTTTGTAACCATGTATACAAAAATAAAAAGGATTTGTTATTCTGACCAAACTCTCACCATTGTCTGAGATCGGCATCACAGTTGCAGTAATATCTGGGATCGGTGCAGTTGCGTTCAATACCACAGGCACATTTCTGCACGCCCGGTCCTGAGCCGCCCCAGTAGAAGTGCTTCTCATTTCCCCTGCCGACCCAATATGTGGACGGAGGCACATCTGAAACAAACCAAAAACATCTAAAGGTCCGGTTCAAGTGGAAGTTGCTGAGACTTTTATTTCATTATGTTGACTTATTTCCAACGGAAACAGAATATTGAGTAGTGGGTGGGGCTTTCTTGTTGTGTATCATTTTCTCATTGCAAAGTAACAGTAAAAGGGGCGTGGTTAAAAATATTGTGGCTGAAGCCGTTAAACTGATGTCATCAAAGAAGGATCGCACCTTCAAACGAAGAAGAACATGTTCAGATTTTAATTGAAGATTACCAAAACAAGTGGATTAACTTGCATGGATTAATTGTTCCAACACAGGCTCATTATGGATACGTACCACCATCTACATTTCTAGAGACCACAAAATACATACTAACAGGCAGGGCCGGAGTGGGACTCCTTTTCAGCCCTGCAGTTTCAAGCCTTAGACTGGCCCACTTCAGTGCAATATCTAAATATATATACAGTGCAAAACATTTTACAGATATCCAGTCCTTTGTAACGGTGGTCACACAAAATATGAAAATAAAATATGTACACCTACATAAGTAACCCAAACAGTATTGCATGTCTTCATACAAAAAATGAAAAAAAAACCCCCAAAAAAAACAAATTACTTAAGACAGGTTCGTAACGTAACATGCTAACCACTTTAAACCACAGTATTACTTTCTATTGATAGCTTAATCTTTTTTTTCCCCTTTTTAGATTTCTGATCAAGTTCATTCATTTATTCATTCATTTTCTTGTCGGCTTAGTCCCTTTATTAATCCGGGGTCGCCACAGCGGAATGAACCACCAACTTATCCAGCAAGTTTTTACACAGCGGATGCTCTTCCAGCCGCAACCCATCTCTGGGAAACATCCACACACACACACATTCACACAAACACAATTTAGCCTACCCAATTCACCTGAACTGCATGTCTTTGGACTGTGGAGGAAACTCACATGAGGGCAGGGAGAACATGCAAACTCCACACAGAAATGCCAACTGAGCCGAGGTTCGAACCAGCGACCCAGCGACCTTCTTGCTGTGAGGCGACAGCACTACCTACTGCGGCACTGCCTCGCCCACTTCTGATCAAGTTATGTAAGATTTATTAATGTAGATAAACATCTGATTTTCATTGAGCAGGTGTAATATGCATTTATATAATTTCTTTAATTCTTATATTCACTACAGTGCCACTGTTTGTGGTCGAATGATAGTTACAGCATCATAAACCTGCAGGCTGCATTTTGTTCACGATGCTGCGAGAAAATAAATAAAAAGTGCGGAGCTGCGGAAAAATAATGAATAAAAAAAGTGAGGCTACCGTTAAATAAATAAATAAGTAAATGAAAAAAGTGCCCTTGCAGCTAAAAAAATGGACCGGCCCACCAGGAATTCTCCCCGTCCTCCCGATTAGCCAATCCTGGCCTGCTCACAGGTACAAATGCATGCAGTATTTGTTTTCACAAATCCACCAGAGGCCACTGTTAGCACTTTTTGACAACCCTTAAATTTCTCCCACACATGCCGTTTGCGCATCCTCTTTTCACATAAATCCACCAGAGGGCACAACAACACACACTTCAGCTGACCAGCTTGCTGTCAACTGACTGACTGACTGAACCACACAGCCTTCTCTACACCCAACCGATATTGGTTTTAAAAGCAATCTAGAAAAAGAAAAGCCATGTGAATTTACCATATTTTCAGATTTTACCATGTTCTCAGCCTGTTACCGGCCTATGTGGCTAGCTACTGAGCAAACTGGTAACACTGAAAGTCGTCCATACAGACGTAAGCGGTCAGCAGTAGTGCGAAAAGAAAAAAAAGCCATCAGCAGCGTCATCATCATACTGCCCCATAGAGTTTTACAGATTAAATGCAGCCAGATTTACCAGTGAGTACATATTTTGCAGTCTCTATAAATGTACACGGAGGTACGCATCTACAATAAGCCTGCGCTGAATTGTTCACCTAAATAATAACAATGTAAGCTAACAAAAAAAACATTGTACATTTAGATTTCACATGAAGTTTAATGCCTCAAACTCTAAACAGTGACATTCTCTTATGAAAGAGATTTACCTGGCGACGGCACCCTGAGCAGCTGTGATTTATAGCACATGTATGAAACATGCTGCTCACAGAGCTCCGCGCTGCTGGTGACGGCGTTCACCTGAAATAAGAGCACCACGTTCAGTGTCTGACGTTCAGGAATAGCATCAGTCTAATTCACACTATAAAAGCGTCACCTGTTCAGTAGACATGCTGTAATTGAGTGTGAGCACAGTCTTGTCTTCGGGTACAGAACCTGCAGACACAGAACTCTGAGCCGGCAGGTCATTGGCTATGGTTGTCCACACTTTGTCTTCTGAAATACATAAAGATACATGTGTACAAGTAAGTGAATTTGCAGACACACACATATACATCAGTTGCGTTGTTTCAGCTTATTTTATACACTGTAAAAGTATCTGTTTATTAACAGGTTCTGGATTTTGTGATTCACAAGTGTTTTCTGTTTATTTACGGTTATGAATTACATTATAGGATGTTGATCTTTGCTCTGTCAGCTTTTGATGTTGAAAATTCAACTCTGTGAATTTTCAAAGTGACTTTTATTGACATTTTAATAGGTTGAAATAATATAATGTATAAGAAATAATATATATAGAAAAAAGTCTGTAAAATGACAGAAAATGCACTAGCAGTTTATTACAAGGTCTTTGTACGGTATTGTTGTAAAAAAAAATAAATGAGTGAAAAGAAGAGAGAACCCAGTCCAGGAGACTCGAAACAAGCAGAATTCCTTTATTGAGACGTGTTGGTTAATCTGCAGTCATACAGCGTCTTCAAGATGTCCAATGTGTCTGCAAGTTCTTTCACAAGTCTCTCACACAAGTCTCACACAAGTCTGAATTAGTCTGCATTAAGACAAAGATTTCATGGCTATATTGTGTTCTTAGGAGGAGGGGATATAGCTAAACAAAGTATGCAAATTAAGGGTTGTGGTCGGCAGGGTAAACTGCTTCTCAGGTCTAATCTCATCATGTTCTGGAGACAGAAACCGCCTGACCATTTGATCGAAAAGAGAAAACAATAGACACCCCATGCTGTGAAACTGACAATTTGCATTACTTTGGCTTAGCCTGTTGTCAGAAAGATAAAGGTTAATGTCCCTCCTAGCTGGAATGTTAATGAAATTATATAATTAAAAACCAGAGAATATAACTTTTTAGTTATACATAGATTATTGTTAATTTGAAATTAGATGATATAAATTTATATTTCCACAGTTCCCCCTTTGAGAGTTATTTAAAAACTCTCACAAAAAAAATATAAATTTGTAAGCTTTCCTAAAACCATTCAATGGCTTCTGTATGATAACAGAAGCCCCATCTTCTAGTCATGTAACTTGAAAAAAGTTACAGGCACATTTAACTTATTCTGTGTCATTTCAATATCTACATAGATGTAAGTGTAGATTTCTAAAACTGTTCACACGTTTATGACAATCAGTTGTAATGTCATAAATCCTACATGATGACACAAAAAATCATGTAGTTAAACTGCAGATCTTCTGAAAGTCCATGGCTTGTGAATAGTGTTCAGTCTTTTGTGAGGTCTGTTTCTTGTGGTTCTTCTCCAGCACAGAGTTGATCTGATGACTTCCTGTCATTCATGGATCTCCGTAGTGATGCTCTGGTTCAGAGTGTTTCTGAGAAGATGCAGTGTTTGTGTTTACCTGCACACAAGAAAACAAGGAAACAGCAGACCAGCAGTATTCATGCATAGACTTGTATGATCATAGTTCGTGTGTCTAGTTATTCAGGTGATCGTATAGTGGTTGTGTTAAGTTGGTGATCGTATAGTGTTGTGTATTTTCTGTCTCCTAATCTTAAAGTTATGACACCTATAAAACAGTGAGGTGAGGATAAATGGGGAAAAAGGGAGTCTTCACCACAGGGTGCGGCCCCTGAAGCCTGTTGCTTTCAGTTCTGCCCTGGGCTCCTCACTGGTTTGTGTGTCCTGTTCTGTCCCTGAGTGTGGTGGGCAAACTTTTGAAATGTGAGACACAAACTATCATTCAATAAATATCAGTCCTATCAGACATCATAACATTGAATGGGTAGTGATTGAAAATATGTGTTAAAACACATTCAAGGCTGTAAGTGGACTTAAGCAGAGTTCCCTAATACAAAGGAAGAAGTTTCCTTTGTGTCTTTTTACAAAGAGTCTTTCATCTTAATTGTAAATGAACTGGGACATTAAGCACTTACAGCCAAAAAATGGTTAGCATCTTTGTGGACAGCTCAATGGATTTAGTGATGAGGGGAGGGGTATGTTGAGGGCATTTAGCAAACTGTTCAGAAGTTGATTTACCCTGTTCATCTCTTTAAAGTTCTTTTTATTCTTTCTACACTCCCTCATCCAATGTCCTTTTTTACCACAGTAATGACAACAGATATTTTTCCTGAGACATTTGTGATTTGATGTCTTTTCTGTGTTGACCTTAGTGGCGGCTGCTTCAAATCTGACTCTGTCTTTGATGTAAGAGTCTCTTTCCCACAAAGCTAAACTGTTCATATTATTTCTGAGAGTGGTGGAAGACCAGGTGATATTAAGAAATGGCAAAGCTTGTCTGTATTCAGTTGCAAGGCCATCTGACCAGATGCGGACTAGGGGTCCCTTATCATCTAGCACACTGTCCGAATTATCAGCTAATCCACTGTAAGTTATGGCGGATTGACAAAATCTCTCAGTGAATTCATTCACAGATTCATCTTTCCTTTGCACACAACAAGTCACTTTTGACCAGTCAATCTTTGGGCCAACAATGTTCTTTAGAGCTTTCAAAACACCCTCTCTCAAATCATCCTTACTGGCATGTTGTAATTTAGAGGTCACAGTATGCTCAAAACTGTTGAATTCAGATTCAGTGAGGATTTGAGACATTAGCTGGGTGACTTCTGTTAATGACATGTCATAAAGACGCATCTTGCTGTTTAGTGCTCTGCTAAACTCTGAAAAATTTGTGCGTGCTGATGGTAAGCTTTGAGATAATCTGTCTATTTCTCTAGGTCCTAGTGTTCTTGAAACTGTTTGAATTTGAACAACAGGAGTGTTGTTGTGTGAACTCTCAGTTCTCTTAGATCTTCTGGCACCACAAACCTCCACTGAACCTATAGGTAAATCATTTGCTGACTGGATGGGAATGTCTGTTTCAGAGACAATTTGTAAGTCAGGATGTTTATTATCAGGCTGACTAACCTCCTCAATGTCAGTTTTTGATTTCTTGAGGTTCAGTTGTTTTGTTAATGAGGTTATCTTAGCATGAAGCTCTTGGATCTGTTTTTCAAATTCTGATTTAGCTTGAGCTTGTTGTTTAGCTCGAGATAAATTGAATTCTCTGTAGCAGCAGATAATGCCTTTTACATTGTTTTTGCGAATGCATGCATCAAGCACTTTCTTGCATTCATCTAATGTCCAAACATCATCTGGGTCAATGCTAAATTTCTTTGTCAAATTTAGTCTGACTGACTCTGTTATTGAGTCCATGTGCTGTCGTAGCAGCGATTTGAAATCCTGATCTGACAATAAAGGAGTTTTTAAACTACCTTTTTCAGTTGTAGTGATCAGTCTTGTATTCTGTCTGAACATTTTGTGAGCTTATTATCACAAAGTAAAAATACTAAAACTTTTCAGATGAAAGTGTAGTAATTTCTTCTCTGGCGAAACAGAGGGTAACAATATTAGCACATGTTGCTAAAACTTCCTGCCTGAACAAGAGATAACATAAATTAGCTAGTATAGCTAAAGTTAAACTTCTCTGGTTGAACAGAGGTTAAACAAAAGAAAAGAAAAGAAAATAGCGCATAAGGCTTAACTTCTCTGAAGAGAGAATAACTTTTTAAAAGAAAAAAATAGCACTTAAGGCTTTACTTCTCTATTGAAATAGAGGATAGCTTTTTGTTAAACAAACCCTGCAGCTGTTTGTTAACTTTTCTCTGATGGAGCAGAGAATAACCATGTGTATAGACTGGTCTGTATGGTTCTTTTGATAGAGTGAAACTCACCAAATCGAGGTTGAGCTGAAAAGATTCAGTCTGGAGTGATCTGATCTTTGTATTCAGGTAGCTTCAATGTTCATCAGGGTTGTAGTCAGCAAATAGTTGAGAATTTGTGACGTCCGCTGAGTGACTTCAAATTGCCGTTGAGCTGAAGATTCCGTCTGAAGAAGTTTTCTTGATCTTGAAGGTTCAAGTTGAATTCCAGGTGGATTTCAGTCTTTTGTAGCAAATTGTTGAGAATTTGATGAATTCAGTCTCTATCCGGGTCACGGCACCAAGTTGTTGTAAAAAAAAATAAATGAGTGAAAAGAAGAGAGAACCCAGTCCAGGAGACTCGAAACAAGCAGAATTCCTTTATTGAGACGTGTTGGTTAATCTGCAGTCATACAGCGTCTTCAAGATGTCCAATGTGTCTGCAAGTTCTTTCACAAGTCTCTCACACAAGTCTCACACAAGTCTGAATTAGTCTGCATTAAGACAAAGATTTCATGGCTATATTGTGTTCTTAGGAGGAGGGGATATAGCTAAACAAAGTATGCAAATTAAGGGTTGTGGTCGGCAGGGTAAACTGCTTCTCAGGTCTAATCTCATCATGTTCTGGAGACAGAAACCGCCTGACCATTTGATCGAAAAGAGAAAACAATAGACACCCCATGCTGTGAAACTGACAATTTGCATTACTTTGGCTTAGCCTGTTGTCAGAAAGATAAAGGTTAATGTCCCTCCTAGCTGGAATGTTAATGAAATTATATAATTAAAAACCAGAGAATATAACTTTTTAGTTATACGTAGATTATTGTTAATTTGAAATTAGATGATATAAATTTATATTTCCACAGTATACAACAATATACAACACCAACCCAGACAATAGATTACTTTGAACTATTAAAAATGTCAATAAAAGTCACTTTTTTGAACTTTTCAATGTGAAAAGTTGCTGGAAAAAAGATCAGATCTCATAATGCAATTCAAAAGCATAAATAAATGGGGGAAAATAAAACCATGAATCATAAAACACAGAAAACTGCTAATTTACGGATTTACGAATGTTAGTTTGAACAAACAGCAAACATCTTTTTTTGAGTGTACCTTTATGGGAACTTCCCATAGAAATAATTATTCGATAAAGTACAGACTATCCTCTCCCCCTACCTCAAAACACAACCCTCACGAGAAACAATCTGCATTTTTTCATATAAAACAACAACAACAACAACAACAACAACAACAACAACAACAACAACAACAACAACAACCTGTTATATATGAGCTGTTTTCTGCATGGTGACCAAAATGT